TGCAGCAGCATCTGGTCTTGGTTTTTAAACTACAGCTACTCTGACTCCCCAAAATGTTAGTTAACCATTTATCATCTACAAAATCCATTTCCTTCTTCAGGAACAGTCTTGTAGGATCTGATCAACTAAAGTAAATAAGACCCTTCCCTGGGTCTTGGAGCTCTAAACATTTTAATTTTATATGCTAGCAAATGATCATTAGTGGAATAACTAGGACACCATGCACTGTTGTAAACCTGACAACTACCAACAAGTCCTGAACTAAGCTCTTAAGCATCTCTAGCTAAAACTTCTTTTCATTGTATGAATTTAAAAAGAACAAAACCTGACCTTTGTTATCAGCTCCAGTCCAAATTACAGGACTTCCTACTGTCATGAACAAGAATAAGGACATCCTCTTCTCCTGAAAGAAATACAGTACCTGAGACTTGACTGATAACTGTGCTGTTACTGTTTGAGATTCACTAGTCAGAATATGAGAGTCTAGGTTCAAAATAACCCTTCATGATAGTACAGAGGTCTATAGAAATTGGGGAGTTTCATGAGAGCTCAGCAGTTCTCCAAATGTTTCCATTGCTCTGTAAAACAAGATTTCTCCTACATCCATTCTGTGCACTTAAAAGGTCATCTCTAGCCTCCCCATTTATTGTTCCCTTTAAGGAACAATCTTCCAAAATTCAGAAGGACAGTTCTGTGTGAACCACCTGTGGTTTAGTGACCTCAGTAATTAAGTCGTGTTTGGAGATAAAACTGAGGTCCCCAAGTTGTTTGAGTGCTTTTGAAGGTATTACCTCAGGTCTTAACCATATGCCAGCACCATTTCATGTGATGCCTGGGAAGATATTTAAACACAGTTTCTGCCAGTCTGCTCCATTGTTTTTATAAAAGTGTGAGAGGAAAGAAGCTGTGCTGATGGAGCTCTCCTCCAGTCTCTGCTGACAGCCCTCAGGAAAACACGGTGGCCCTTGTTTTTCATTCAGCAGATGAGACTGACCTTACACTTAATTAATGGCTCAGCCATGAATGGGTAATGAAAATCCTCCTAAAGCATACTTGATTGCATTTTTAAAATCCCTGTATACCAAGACACTGTAGTGGTTTCAGAATCGCTCAGTATTGTAATTTAAATGCTATAATTGCCCATTCGTTGTCCTGAACACAACTAACTCAGAACTTCATTAATGCTGTTTTAAAGCACTGTGATTTCGCTGATGTTGCTGGCACAAGATCCAGCCCGAGGCTCTTAAAAACCAGCCCTTCCAACAGCAAGTGTTTGATGACAGGATAGGAGGAAATGGGGAAGAAGCCAAGAGGGGAGGTAGGAGGGCTGAGAACATGATGAAAAGGCAGAAAACCAGTGTCCCTGCGCCCAGGTCAGGCTGCACCACCCCTGACTTCAGCACGTGGGTGAAGAATAGGGTCCACAGTTTTGCACTGTGGCTACATGGGACAAATTCTTCTCCATATATGAAGGATAATTTTATTTGTTATTTCTCATATATTATCCCTACATGAATTCGAGGCAGATGGATCCTGTTTATATATAACAACAGATAGTCTTGGCAGCTGCACATTGGAAAAACTTCACTGATTTTCCCAAAGGCTACCAGTTTACTCTCGTTGAAGATTTAGCCCAACATTAGTAATTCAGGAATCACTAAACAACTTGAAAAAAATGCTAAATCTATAGTAATTTTCCACTGAAATATTAAGTATACAAGACTGAACTTGATGGGAAATTTAATTATAAATGCTGGATTTATCCTCTGTATATGACTTAAATACATTGCTAATGTAGAGCTGATTGCTTATGTATAGCAAACCATACTGATTTTTACTTTCTGCCCCTTTAATATCAGTGGGACTATTCACCAACTGATTGTATAAGCAGTGGAGTAACAAGTTGTAGTCATGACTGACACGGTCAAAATGACGCTTATTTGGAGAGGATATTTCCAAAGAAAGGAAAGACACCTAGATAAGTGGCTTCCCATGAAAGTCAAGGTGATCTGTGCATTCATCTCCCAGGAGAGCTGTTGAAAATCTCCTGCTAAGATGCAAAACCCAAAACTGATCTGCAATCAGTTACTGTGATTGCAAACAGGTATGTTTGAAAAGCCTATTCTGAAAAGCATAAGCAAAAGTCTTCCTTTTCGACTCTGCAGCCGTTCAGTCTGGACATCTTGTATTGGACCGTGTACATTTCCCATTGCAGCTGGCTGATTTAAAGTGGGAGAAAAATGCTGTTCTGAAAGTGTAAAATATTTTTAAATTTAAGTTTAAATATATTTAAAATATTTTAAAATGTAATTTTAAATTTAGCTCAGAGTTCTTCTCCCTCATCACAGCTAGGACTGTCTGAGGGGACATGTAAAGGACATGTCATGTCTCATTCACATGGCCGTGCTATGGCAGGTGAGAAAGTGAGGGGCATAGGACAGGTTTCCCTGAGCTTGTGCAGTGCCTTGATTCAGAAACTGTTTCAGCCAAAATAGTGGAGAGAAGAAACAAGGACCCCACCTCAGACACATCACTGGCTGTATTTCAGTGGAAAGTGGGAATTGCCTCATCTCTGCTGGCCATTGCCATTGCGTTCAGTTATGTATTGAGGATAGTGTGGCAATTTTAGCATGAAATTGGTTGCTTTTCCCAAAGGAAAACCTGAGCGCTTCCTCACAGAGTCGATGCATAAAGCATGACATTAAAGGAACTACAGCTGCAAAGAAGAAAAAAATCCCTGCCCGTGTCAGGCTTTAGATACCTAAATTGTTAGTGCTGAAAAACAAGTGAAGGACTGGGAGACATCTGTTTTCTAACTCATCCCAGCTTGCTGCTGGTCTTGGTAGTTCATATCAAGTCCTAATTATCACTTTAATCAGTTTAATCTGCAAAAACTCCACAGGCTTCTGATTTTCCATGTAAGAACAGTACCTGGATGTTCCTTATCTTTGTCAGAAGCAGCCCTGTTACTCTGCTGGGACTTAGGAGCACCGAAATGTGGCTTAGTTCCAATGTATGACATGTTACAGATGATGGCTATCCAAATAATATTAATTATTTCGCACTTGTACTAGAAGCAAACAGAGGATCATATTGACAGGCAACTTGCCAGCATCCCAAACTGCTACCCACTCATTTCACAGCTGTGGAACTCTCATATTCCACTATCAACCTGCACAACCTTCTGCCAGGAAGCCTGAAGACAAAAAGTAAGTTTGAATACTGGAAAAGATCAAGAAATAGGCATTTTCTGCTCTAGAAGCAGAGTATGCCATATGAATTAAATGTGTGGGATTTGGAAAGTGGATGAAGCATTTCCATTACTTAAAGGGGTCACCTGAGAGTACCTGGGAATACTGTCACCCAACTGTAGCTGTCCAAAATTGTCATTTCTCTGAGGAACCAAGGCTTCCTCAGTAATAAATGAAAAGAGATGAGTATCTCAACAGCGTGCTTCATCCTTTGTTAAAGCTGGTATCTAAGCCCACCTTTTGGAGGTACCTGTCTTTTTCTCTTAACTGCAGGGAGGCCTAGACAGGCAGCCAAAGCTCAGGGCATAACTTATGGGTGAAAAAAATGAGGTGAGGTGAATCGCCCCTTTATGTATATGTAAAAAGACTAATCAAAATGAAAAGACAGGATCCCTAAAGCTAAGAGTAGCATATGAGGTTCAGGAGCTGTTATTTGTGTATTAAATATAAATATACAAACATGCCCAAATATATTAATACATGAGCATTTGGATATTTCCAGTTAAACCAGCTGTAGAGTATAACAAGGCCCTTGTCTCTTTCATTTTTTAGTAGGTTCAGTTACACTATACTAATTAATGCTTGCACTGGCTATTTATTTATTAAGCCTTGAATTCATGAGTTAACATTTTAGCAATGCATGGAATATGGTGTATTATGAGAGATTAATTTTCCCATAGGAATCTGCTGGCACACACAGGATCAGGTCCTATGTCATATAACATGACCAGAAGTCTATCTATTACATGCCATTTCTGTTTATCTACCTCCTTCTCTGGTATATATTGTATTTTCATGCACACCTGCACATAAATAGATATCCATATGCCTATCACATTAAGAATTGGACACTCAATGATTCAAAGTGGAAAGTACATAAAATAAGTCTGTTAATCATTTCACAGGATTTTAGAAAATAAACTGGTATAACTGCATGAACGGGGGCATTACCATAATACTCTGAGATTATTCACTGAGTTTAAGTAACTTCAGTGTAAACCCATAGCAGTTCATGATTTCGAGGCATCAGATTAGGTTTCATCTCAATATTAAACTCTGCTACATCACCCAGAGCAAATACTAGTAGCAAGAGAAGATATTCCAAGTAGTAACTTATCATCAGCCTGGGACCCTCGAAAGACTTATGTGAATAAGTAAGATTTATGGAAAAACTTTGAATTTGAAAATAATGTTGAAACCAAAATGAAGATGAAAGACTGACTGTCATGTTCTTCTTAGCTGAGGATTAGTTCTCTGCATGCAGACCTCCTTGATTACAGCTCTGTGCCAAGTGGTTGTGGGCAGCACGCTGCACAAAGCATCTCCTTTCTCTTGCCAGGCTAATTTTGAGGGCAGTAAATGAAATAGCTGTAGCCAAGTCATATGATTAGTTTGTACACATACAAACTAAAAGTAGATTGAAAGCAAGGAACACAAATGAATATATTTCTTAAGGCATATATCCAGTCGTATTATATATGTTGTTAATATGTCTAAGCCAATAGTTTTGGGTTCACAGTAATTGCATACTATTTATTTACAAATCTTCCCCAGCAGTATGTGCCTGTTACCTAAAGCGATGGAGCAGGTCCCGGTCATATGTCTGTCTCTAAACCTGGGCCAACAGTACATGACATAGCACCCACTGTGGCCTCTGCTCTGTCACTTTGCAATGCGATTCTATGTAGTTTTACTTGAATAACATAAAATAACATATATAATGTTATTTATGTTATTTTCCACGTGAAGAACTCCTGTAAACCTTGCCGTTTTGAAACTCAGTGAGGCAGGCGTCTTAGACAAGCTGAAAAACAAATGGTGGTACGATAAAGGTGAATGTGGACCCAAGGACTCTGGAAGTAAGGTCAGTCGCTGCAGTTCGGGACCTACTATCGTGTTCACAAAGCAGTAAAGGAAGTAATAAACAAAATGACTTAGAAGTAAAATAAGCAGCTGTAGACACAGAATGAATCAGCTTTGCCCCATCTTGATGGGGGTCACACTTTAATTTAAAGAAGCACTATTGCTTTTCAAAGTCTTCAGTGATATAAATCACCAAACGTCATCCTACATATTCAAAGTATCTGTTGAAGAGTTACGAGGCAGGTTGCATTAGTTGTTTCCTTCCTGCCTCGGGGGCATGGACTTTCCCCGTTGACTGCCTAGGAAGTGTCCCTTCACTGTTTCTCCTTTTGGAGCTGGCCTCCCTCAGTGGTTTTATGAAAAGGGGAAGTGCTAGCGGGAAGGATTGTCTTTCATCACTGCCCAGGGTGGCTGTGCCTGGCTGCCTTTGGAAAGGTCCCTGGCTCCTTGAGGAGGGAGGAAGACTTAACTTGAGCTTTGAAGTGAAAGGCTTTGATAATTAATAGCTTTATACAGCTTACAGTGTTTACCCTAGTCCATTCCCAAACAGTAATCCTGACAGCTCCAGGGAATGGAGCCTTCTCTATTTCTCTGTGTTTGGGGACAAACACAGAAGCAGGTATTTTCTGGTGGCTGGGAAGCACCATAGTCAGTGCCAGCTCTATATTCAGGGAGTCTGAAATTTCTTCACAGTGCCTGTCTCTACGCCAGCCTGTGCTGTCCAGAGCTAAAAGGAAAGCAATTATGAGCAGCAACTGCTTGCTGCCTGCATGCCCTGAGAGTTACCCTGATGGATAGTGGCTAAAATTAGCCTGGGAAACAAACTTCCAGCACATTTTGCTTTTTCTGGCAAGTGCTTTGGAGAAAGGAATGAAAACCAGTTAAGAGGATGGCAGAGTACCTGTAAAGGACAGCTGAGAAAGCCTCAACTCGCCACGTATGTTAGGTCAGGTCTTTCTCAGTCCTGCCTCCTCCTTGTTTGCAAGCACCATGTTAGCAGTTGCCACGAGAGAAGCACAGTTACTTCCAAGATATCCGGAGTCCTCTTAGCCAGCTAAAAAGAGACAGACAAAGCAGAACCCAGATATAAGCCCCAAACTCCTCTATATATCCATGGGAATTGTTACTGTGCTAATCTAGAGATTACACAATAAATAGTGCCTCTTTAAATTAAACATCCAAATATTCTGCATTCTTTGTAAGTTAAAATTCGTAGAGATTACAACTGGAAGTTAAGTACTCTCCTTACTTTAGGTAAAGATTATATAGTCTGCGTAAGAATAAAGCTTTATAAGTATCTTAAGGTGCACAATGTAGTATATGAAGTCAATCCTGAGAGAGTTCCTTGAGAACTGTGCTAAAAATGCACATAGATTTCAAATCAAAATATATAATTTGTAACTAAGCAGTGAAGTATAGAGAAATGTAGAATAGTTATTTCCTACAATACGTCCAAGAAGGTGATCGTTTATAAAATGATGTATATTTAATAATTTGCTAAAGAAAGTTCTCAATGTTGTCGAATTTATGAATAAAGTGTAAGACTTCATAAATTGCTATTTAAAATTATACTATTACTGAGCCTTAGTAGTCCATGGGCATGTTCCAGAACTATATTTATAATAAAATAGAAAGAAAATACAATAATCGGTAAGAGGTAAATACATCATGATGTGTGTGGTACAGTGTACACTTTCAAAGGAAGTGTTTGTTCAAAGAAAGAACTTAAGCCTTACATGTTATTTTCACCTGTCATTTAAGCATCAGAAACTCAGTCTGGATCTTTTAAATTAACAGCAATGCTTACCACAAGTACAATTACTGGTTTTTTAAAGGCCAGGCAGAGTCTTGTCTAATATAAATGAATTTCTGGATTCCAAGGCTTTTAAAGAGCTTTAAGTAAATGCAGTTTCGTATCAGTGCTAAAATGTCCCCTAAAGATAGCTAGACAGGTCATTGTTTAATTCTCCACTTAGTGGAAGTAAAGTTTTGCAGTAAGGAAGCAATGATATCCTGATATGTTGGCAATATACTAGTATTTTTTATGCCAACCAGGAAAACTAAGTGCTTAAAATGTATTTTATAGGTCCAGATAGGTCAATTTTTGTGAGAAGTATGTAAACAACTGTCATTTAATTTCAGCTAAATGTTGTTTTTTATTTCTATTTCCAATGTTTTAATGTGTAGCTTGTGCTCCTGGGGGTCTGTTTTACGGGGTTAATTGTGTCACTTCTGTTTCCCCAGGACAAGACGAGTGCCTTGAGTCTCAGCAACGTTGCTGGAGTCTTCTACATTCTGGTTGGAGGCTTGGGCTTGGCAATGCTGGTGGCTTTGATAGAGTTCTGTTACAAGTCCAGGGCAGAGGCGAAACGAATGAAGGTGGCAAAGAGTGCACAGACTTTTAACCCAACTTCCTCGCAGAATACCCAGAATTTAGCAACTTATAGAGAAGGTTACAACGTATATGGAACCGAAAGTATTAAAATTTAGGGGTAGGACTTAGGGCCTACTACAGTGAGTGGGTGATGCATCTTGTAACGCAGTGTTGTGCTATGTCTGTCTAGTGGTGCTTGCTTCTGAACAGAGCTTTATATTTTGGAAAACTTCAGTGCAAAGTGGTTCAGTTTTTTTTGGCTGCAGATGTACAGTATACTATTCTATGTTGCTAATAGACATCTGCATTGCAAGGAATTTTTAAGATAAAAAATACATTTTTAACAACTCAATGTTGTCAAATCGGTTGGGAGATGACAACTATTTGAAATCATAAAATATATATTCAGAGGGCCATTGTTTAATTACATGATTGGCCAGTCTATTTTCCTAAAGATTTGCACTCTACTAGTGACAAATTACTGTAAGCCTTTATTATTCGATGTTGACCCTAACTGGGACTTCGTTATCATCAAGATTTAGGATAGGCAACGTCACTGAACCATAGTTAACCTAATGGAAGACAAGGCACTGTTACAAGAAGTCTAAATGTTGTTTTACCTTCTCTCCCTCCTCCCTACCCTACTCCTTCACCCTCCCTTTGATACATGTTTTATGCTAATTGTGTGGCATTTTTTTCACAATATCCTGCTTCAGGTCAACCTTTGCCCAGTATAATAACCACAAAAAATCACTAACCAGTGAATAGACCTTGATTATCGTCCTCAGCTTTCAGTAACGTACCCCTTTACCTAGCTCAGGTCTAGTGTATTTTAGATGTTCACACAGTGATTTCGGAGACTGACCCGCTGCCGTTGCCAAGCTGCATCCTGCGTAGTTCCCCTGGGTAGGCGCGCAGGGATGGTTTACTAATGTACTTGTTCTCATCCGTGCAGTGAGTATGTTGCCAACTAATCATTAGTCAAATCAACTCTCTGACCTTTGGAAATGGCACGTAGCAGCAAATTAAGCTTCTAAATATAACTTTAACATAGCTCCCAAGCTATACTGGCTGCTTTATAAGTGAAGGTGCAGCTAGGACCCTGCCCTGTCGTGCTACCTAGAGCTCCTTTACCGTGGCAAATAGCAAGCCACATGTCTCCTCTGTTAACAACAAGCTTGAGCTACATTTTCCTGAAATCACTGAGCCATCCATATAGCAGAAGTAAGAAAAAAAAGTTTAGGGAAAGGAGATGAAGAATAGAATTTTTATGTTGCCACCTAGAAAAACTTTTGGAGGAAACAACTGGAGATACAATTATTATTTTTTTATTTATTATTTATATAGCGCTGGAGTACACGGCGCTGTACAATAGGTGAAGTGTGCCAAACACATAACAGGTCCCTGTCCCGAGGAGCTTACAGTCTAAAGGCACAGCCGGTACAATACAGAACCATACAGTACAGAGCAGACACAGAGTGAGCAGAGAATGGTGTTTGAGCATGATAGCTGGAGCGCTGCAAGGAATAGGTGGGTTCTCGGGGGGTGAGGGAGGGGGCTTGGCGTACGCTGGCTGGGAAACTATCCCAAACATACTGTCGCTGTGTAGTTTCCTTTTGTTCCCTGTTGTACAAGAAGTCATGACCCTGGGTATATTTTAATTGCAACAGAGCTGCCTATTTTCTCCACGTGAAAAAAAAAAAAATGCTGTGCACTTTATTCACTAGTGAAAATGCGAGGCATAGCAGGTGTCAAGGGACTCTAAGAGTACAGGCCAGTGTTCATTACTGTGAACTGGGAATCAGGACTTCCAGATGCTAATAGTAACCTCCAAAGTTCACTGCCTACTGTCAGTGATAAGGGTCTTAAAAAGAAAAAATCCTGTGCAAGTAATTGTGCAAAATGCAAATGAAGACATCTTTTTTCTTTAAATTCTTTAGTCATGTGCCTGCAACTGAGAGTGTCCTCAGGCTGGTATAAAAGTAAGAGTCCCAGAAAACATATTCCTTGTCAGTTTTACAGGGTGCAATGCATCCAAACCATAATCTTAAAGAAAGCAAACAAAAAACCAAAGCTTTCATTCAAATACTGACCTGACCCAAACTGGCTTAGCATGCTAAACGTAGCATGATTTGACAGTCCCTTGAGTTCCCACCCAGCTCTATGATTCCTGTGCAACAAACACTATGATTATACTTGTAGAATTTATTTTAGCCTTACTGATTTCTTGAAATAAAAGTTAGGGCTAACAGAGTGTTATTTTTAAGGAAAGGTCATAAGTGCCTTTCTCTAAAGTTTGGATTTTTGTGGGACTTGTTGCAACACAGGAAATAGGAAAAAACATAGGAAAAATGTATATAAAAAATGCTCACGTTGCATTTTATTTTATTGAAAATTCATGTTTGGGTCAGTCAAAACATCTGATAATCTCTTAAAAACACTTCAGGTTGCAAACATTTAAAAATTTACCAAAAAATAGAAATAACTAGGATTTTGAGCAAATATTTATAGACTTCTGAAATCTTCATTCTACTTATTTGCCATAATATTTACCTGAGAAATTTCAGCATGTGAACTTCTTATAAAAATGCTGATGCTTATATGTGGAAGACTGCCAAGGTCCAGCCATCCTCTCCTGGCAATACTTGGCCATCCCTAGCCACGCAGGCAGCGAGGGGTTATGTGCGTGCCGTGCTCTGTACAGGGTGACTATGCCATCTGTTTGTACACGTGCTACTCATAAACCCCTGTTAGCTGGCAGCAGTGCAGAGCCCACAACACTGGTTACACATATTTCTGCAGAAATAAATGTCATGCGTTTTGAAACCTTTGATATGTTTATTTATCCAAGGAGTAAAGGGATCATACTGGGACTAAAACTAGCTAATATGAAAAGATGCTTGGCGGTTCTAACCTGCATGAGTAACCAACATGCTGACTTTTTAAGCTAACTTCAATTAGTTTTAACAGTATATGTTTTAAACTAATATGCAATAGCTGAAATAACCCTCTTGACAATCAATATTCATTACCATGTTTTTTCTTGTAGTGTAATCCAGTCAAAAGTAAGTTGCCTCAGGGAAATTCACCTGGCTCTCACGCAGCAGAAAATGAAAATGTAGGACTAGTCTGTATGTGTGGACTAGCCTGTATGATAAAGGACTAGTCTGGGGAAGGGGGGATAAAGACATTCAGAGGGATGACATGCTACTTTATCTGCTGAAGGCAGGGAAGGAAGTTTGCTTTATGGAGTGAACAGTCCCTTCCTCTTCCCCTTGGCAATAGTTTTCCATTTTTGTGTGTCAGTAGTAAGCCCTTAGTACACTAGTTGAGTTGATGCCCTGAGAATAGTGTGGAGCCTAACAGCCTTCTCTCCAGCTGCTCTAGGGAAAAACCCTACTGAGTTCCTCACCCCAGACCCACAGACTTTCAAAGGGATTGTCCCAGTATCCACCACCACTGCCTCTCCATGGCCTTCTCGGTGGGCCATGAAGCTCATGAACCAGCTTCCAGTTCAGATGCCTTCTCTTGCTCTCGCACCCCATGCTGTTGTTTATAATCAACAAAATTAATTACAAAACTACAAAAAGAAATGAAAAAAATATTAAATTAATTACAAAAAGGGTGAAGTGCTACATGATGGCTCAGTAAATGTGTAATGCACTTATATAGTTCCAATTTCATATTCAAGACAGAAAAATTCATTAAAAGTTCATCTTCAATATTTGTGCCAAAGACACCTCCATGTGACCCAGGTACTAGAGGAGCCTGAACAACAACAGAACCCACATGGTCTAGGATATTTGTATTATACAAGCTGAGGATATCAGTTTCCTAAATTCCCATTTCCCAATAGGAACAGGGCAGTTAGTGTTTTCACATGATTAATTCCACAACTAATTTAATCAAACTAATGACAAATTTGAAAATACATTATCACCGTTAACTGCATACACTTACCACACAGATGCTTTCACAATTTGGGTAATATTCACAGTAAATAGCAAGACTTTTCCCTCTCATCCCAGCCACTCCTGAAACTGCTTCTGCAGCCAGGCCATAAATCTGAAATTGTAACAGCACAGTTAAGCAGAGTATTAGCCCGGCTTATTATTAGACACTGGAACAGGTTGCCTAAGGGAGTTGTTGATACTCCATCCCTGAAAGTGTTCAGGACCAGGTTGGCTGGAGCCTTGAGCAACCTGGTCTAGTGGGAGGTGTCCCTGCCATGGCAGGGGGCTTGGAACTAGATGATCTTTGAGGTCCCTTCCAACTCAAACCATTCTACAGTTCTATGATGACCTATAGTGTAGTTTAAAATATAACACAGAAGCTTACCTGGTTACTTGGCCTTATGGCACCTTCCTGAGTACAAGTTTGACCTGCTTCTCCTGGCTTTGTTAACTGTCTGGGTTGTTTCTGTGGTGTGTTGCTGAGCTGTTGTTAATCTCTGCCATGAGAAGAGAGGAGTTGTTTTATTGCAGCTTTTTCTGTTATTCCATGGAAGGCTGCTGAGAAATTGTTTGTTATTCTCCTTTGATTTTGATTTTTTTTTTTGGTGGACCCCTTTTTGCTGTCTTTCTGTCCTGAGTGTGTTGTCAATGGCCAGAAAGCTATATAGACTGAGCTACAGAACCACAGTTACGCATAACTTGTGTATCCCATATAAATCTGAGCTCTCACTCAGATTTTGCAGTGACAAGTCCTGAATGGTCATGAACAGATAGCTGATCAAAGTGATGGAGAGATGCTGGTACCTAATGATGACTTTCTGGGAAATTTATCACATTTGGAGTAAGCTGTCCCTTTTCCACCCAAGTTTGCACTCTAATCTGGTTTGGACTCCTATCCCTTCCCAAAACTAAAGCACCTTTGTTTTTTCTTGCCATTGACCAAAAAATGTTCTGTGCATTTCTGCAGGCAGTTACCAGTCCTTGACATCCATTTGCAATGGGACTCTGGACGTGCACTATGTGGAGCTACACCACATTGCATTGTGCAGACACACATTGTGCTTTCCAAATGCATAGATTTTTATTTGCTGCTGGGGAGTAGTTGAGCATTTTGGTACGGTATGGGCCCAGGTTCCCACTCCCACATTTCCTCTGCCTCCCTTTTTCTATCTAGCCTTTGAATTAGGTCAAGATATGTTTGGTAACAGTACCTGTCACAAAGTACTGTGGCAGCAGGTAAATTTTTCAAAGGGTGACTTTGGACACTACAATTTGTGATTATCAAAGCCAAGGTTTTTCAGCAAAAGGAGAATGCCATAATGCCCTCTGTAAGCTGAGGCCTTTTCCTGAATTTGGCTGCTTGTGAAGGCTGAGGTTTTAGGGTAATTGATTTGGAACATTGCTTTGATATACAAGCTCCAGCTGTGCCGCAACAGCAGCTGTACAGTTTTAAGGAATCTTCCTCATCACTATACGCACACACTCATATAAAATTAACTTCAGCATATCAAACAACAGTTCAGGATTTCACTGCTACCTCGGAAGGAGAAACTGGGCTCAGAGGGACAAAGTTCTAAATGCAGAGATCAGTAATAATGCAAATAAAATGTTTGCCATCCCTTTGCTCCTATGTGAATGCAACCTCCTGTCTCTCTTTTTCCAGTTGGTATTTCAGATTGCATCCCTGCACACCAATTACATGAGTTAGTTGCATAGACTGTAGCTTCTGCTGACTAGAAATCAGATTTCCCCAGTAATTAATACCTCCACGTAGTATCTTTGAAGTCTGTTTCAACGTGGTGTAGTTTGGGTGCCTGTTGTTCCAGGTGTCCTTGCTGCATTGGTTGACCTTAGACACCTCCCCAGATTTTAGTCATCTGGAAATCGTTTAGTCTAAACTAGTCATTGGCTTTTTCTGTCATCACATGAGAGAGCTCTTTTAGATCAGGTTACTGATTTTTGGATGACTAAAGTTACATGGCATAACTACGAATCTTTTTTCTTTTTAACAAATCCAAAATTTTTTCTTGAGTCAATTAGTACATAAACAAGATATTTTGGTCTGATTTACCTGAAAGTAAGGATTTTGACAAAAATTTAAACCTTCTTGTGGAAAATTTAGACCTAATGTAGAAAACTGTAGAAAAATGTATTTCTCTCAATAAACTACATTTCCTTTGAAAGTTCCTACCTTCTCTAAATCTAGGAAAATATATGAAAAGAGATTTGAGGACAGTTCTCAGATTTACTGATAGTAAATATGTGCATTGTGAAAAGAAGTAATAATTTCTTTAGATTTGATCCTGGAATTATCACAAAGATAGCCAATACAGCTATTGCAATTTATAAACAATTTTCAGTAGTTATATTTTATCTTGACATTCCTAGTTGAAGATCTAAGCCTTTAAACACCTGTGCATGACTTTATTCACAGTTGCTAATGCTTTCAGGTTCATAAAAGGTCTTGATTCTCATTCCACTGTATATAAACGTAGTTTAAAGCAATTTAGATTAAGGTATTGCCTCTTCTGTTAATTTCTTGATTAAATTCAGATTTTATATTTAAATCAATAATGATTTATTGTAATGAAATTTACCCTCAGAATTGCTAGTCTTTTTTCCCCTAGTAGACTTAAATGCTATGTAATATCTTTATGATGATTACTATTATTATATTTAATGTTAACATGGAAAAATGCAGATGTCTAAAATTAAATATTTTGGTGTTTGCTGTGTCCTGGTTTGTTGAAGGACAGAAACATTCTAACACTTTTCTCCTTTCTCCTTTCTTTTAAAACCTAGCTTACCTTTTCTGAAGCCATAAGAAACAAAGCCAGATTATCCATCACGGGAAGTGTGGGAGAAAACGGACGTGTATTGACTCCTGACTGCCCGAAGGCCGTGCATACTGGAACTGCAATTAGGCAAAGTTCAGGATTGGCTGTAATTGCATCGGACCTACCATAAAAACCAAAAAAATAATTGAGTGCCTTAATCAAACTGTGTTGGTGACTGATGGGAACACAGCACAGACTGTAACGACATGGGAGTGTCATTGATGAACTAATAATTTGGCTGAGAAAGGGAAGTACGTCCAAATGCGCCAGACATCATCAGCAACAATGTGTGCATGAGCTCAGCTCGGAAACCCAAACTCAGATTTTATATCAGGAAAATTCATAATTTAGTTTTGTTGGGGGGAGGGGGCTGGGAAGGGTGTATTAACAGCAACAAATTTCACTTGAGTGGACTTAAAACTAATAAGACTTGCCAATTTAGCGCATTAAACTGTGAAGAACATGCTCAGAAAGGACAACATTTTGGTCTTTGTCTTGACAAAGAGAGAAAAATAGCTATAGAAGTCAATGAACATGCTAACCTGTGTCTCCAGAACATCAATATATAAAATGGAATACTCAGCTGTTCAGCTGTAGAAATGAATCACTAAACTGTGATAAGAAAATAATAAATATGTAAATCCTGTGAAAAAATAAAGAAATTATTTACATTTTCTTTGAAAAAAAAAAGAATATTGAAACATGCTTGCTTTTTAACTGATGTAAATTCGGTAGAGGACAACACAATTCTTTTTTCTAACCATCTTAGGGAACAATTCATTGCAATAATTGATATAAAATGCCATCACTGTAATAAAATTCAGAGACTTTTTTTTTATAAAAGTTGTTGGTCATCCTCTTGTTTGCTGTTACCTTCATTCTGTTCCATCATTCCGTGTTCCACAGATTTGCATCTGTCTAATACAAGAAACAAAATGATAAAATGTTTAGAGTACGTCATCAGTCTGCAGTGTAGAATCAAAAGAGACTACGGGTCACTCATGTTACAGATATTATTTATAATCTTGTTCTGTGTAAGAAACTGTGGTTTTTGTACCCACCAAAAAGAATAAAACAACAAACATTCTTATAATATTGACACAGCTTGAGTTGTTTTCTGATCATTAGGGAAGTCACCTGGAAAATAGAATACTGTGGTTCATTTCTTACTGCAGGATGCAGGACCTTACCAGAGACAGTCTGAGTCCCTGCACATTTGTGAAGTGCTTTTAGGTCCTCAGAGAGGAAGGACTTGAGGCTGTCAAAGTACTGTCATGTTTATTCACTAGGTATTTTAGTACTAGTCACTAAAATCCTTTCTGAGAGGTTAGGGAACCATTTAGTGATAGGGTTTGATCTCTGGGTAGGTCAAGGGATGAGATACCAGGGAGCCAGAAAGTACAAATGACAATCTTTCAGACAGATGTGATGGATACAGCGTGTTGGTAGCCAGCAACCTTGTTTTTCATCAGCCAGGCTTTCAGTGGCATGCCAGGGAAAGGCTAGCAGGCACCATTTGAATGAAAGCCAGATGTCAACAGGAGCAGGCATGTCTTCAGGTGCAAAGCTGTAGCAAGTCTCTTCTGCAATGGTCATTCTTCTTGGCCACACTAGACACTGCAGTAGTCTCCAAATCCAGAGTATTGCCACCAGTGTAACAGCTCCATGCCAGAGCTCAGACCGCAAATCAGATCAAACTTGGATTTATCATACCTTCTAATGCCCTCATGATTTTGCCAGGCCCATGAGGGATCATGTTCACATGGCTTACATTTCACCAAAGCCTCCATGGCTGGTGCTTCTCTCAGCCTGCAAGGCTCCAAGTCCTCACAAACAGGAGTGTGGGCACAGGGTGGAGTCTAATGCTGCCAAACAATGACCAACCCTCAACAACTGCAGCAAAGGACAACCAAACAAAAGCACTACTGAGATCATAATCATCCTATGTGGAACAGACATCTACGAAGCAGCAAAGCAGGCATTAGCTTCAGTCAAGGTATCAACAATATAGATAAGAACTTCTTAACTCAAGTACTTTAGACACCCTTTATAGTTACTGGAGGGAAATAGCCAATGAGAGTGAATGACTGCATCTTAAAGTAGACTTTAGAATATCAAACTGCTAAATCACAACAGTAAGAGCCTATATGTTTCCACTACTATAACCTAGGCTGAGGGAGACTATTTCTTATACAGAGCTTGACAGTGCAGGCAAAGGTGAAAATAAGATGATGCTTATTGCTAAGGCACAATGACAACAAAGTGTGCAAGGGTCTTAGAGAAAAAGACACACAACACTACAATGAATCACTGTGACTAAACCTACTTGATGTCAATGCTTTACGGGCATGTTTAGCTCATTCATGAGTTACTGTGAACTGTTTGTGTTTCCATGGCTGGAATGGTGAGTTGACTGGTTTTTCTCTTCTTTGAGTACAGCTGGGAGCTCCCTCTCAGGCTTCTTTTTTACAGCTGAATTTAAAAAGCATCTTCTGGGTTGTTTTGTTTTAAAAAAAAAAAAAAAAAAAAAAGAAAAGAAAAAAAAGAAAAAAGTGTTTGTCTTGATTTTTCATAAAGTAACATATTAGAGGCTGAACAGATTGGAGACTGAATGTGAAGGATGTTGTCTATTTTGTTCTACTGTGTATGTCTGTTTTTCCAGGAGCTCATCTTCATCCTTTCCTCATTCAGGACTGTGAGCAGTGCCACTGCTGTCCTGGGATATTTTAGTGTCTTCCAGTGTTACTCCTCTTACGTCCTCCCCTGTCTCTTTAATGCATTACATTTATCTTTCACCTTCAATAAACAGCCCATTGCTGCAGTTAGGAATCATAGAATCACGGAACTGTTTGGGTTGGAAGGGACCTTAAAGATCATCTAGTTCCAACCCTCCCCTGCCATGGGCAGGGACACCTTCCACTAGACCAGGTTGCCCAAAGTTCCATCCAACCTGGCCTTCAATTACCTCTTGTCCCATTACTGCACTCCCTGATAAAGAGTCCCTCCCCACCTTTCCTGTACGCCCCCTGTAAGTACTGGAAAGCTGCTGTAAGGTCTCCCCGGAGCCTTCTCTTCTTCAGGCTAAACAACCCCAACTCTCTCAGCCTGTCCTTGTAGGGGAGGTGCTCCAGCCCCCTGGTCATCTTCACTCCATGGAGCCCATTCTTAATTGCCTAAGTCAGGTTTCCACTTGGCAACAAGACCCCCAAGTCCTTTGAGCTGTCTTGGCCAGTGTCAGTAACTACCGAGGATACCCACCAAGAAGATTCACAGTCCAGCAGCATGAGCCATGCAGCTGCCAAGAAGCATGGCTGTGGAGTGGTGTGACCCACCAAGGGCATGTGGCCAACAGCCACAGGGGGGGAATTGTCGCATCCTCTCACTGCTTCCAAGTCTTGTCCTTGGCAAGGGAACGCTTTGATTAAAGAAATCTTGGTCAGATGAGGTGAAGAGGAGACTGTGACTTTGCCAATGCCTGCCATAAAATACCACAGACACAAAATTTTGAAAAAATAAAGAAAATTACATGGGAAAATGCTACAAGAGAGAGAGTTGACTAGAATCCAGGTGGTTGAGAAAGCAGTCTCAGCATATCGGTCTGCTGTCTTCACAGACTCTGCTATCTTATTCCAAGGGGGTAACCATTGCATGGCTGCTATGACCATCTTCACATATCTATCTTAGCTGGCCCTCAGATATTTTTTCTTTTGCTTTTCCCCCTTCTCCTGAAATACTAATTTTTCACTCCTCTCTGTATCTTCCCACCATCCTTTTGAAGATCAGTGCTAGAAGTCACCCTCCTCCCATGTGTAGGAAATACAACCCAAAGGAGGATATCCCTTCCTCAGGTCAGGTTCAGAAATGCCATAGTCTCTTATAGGTATAAGGGTCTGAGGCCCTGAGATGCAGCAGAGCAGCTCCTGGGCTGTATCCCGCCCTCCCAGCACAGTGGTTACAGCTCTCCTCTTTCATCTCCCCTTGCTTTTTCTTTGGCCACCTCCATCTAGCAGCTTCATGGCAACGACTGGCTCAAAGCGAGAAAAAAAAAAGTAAGGGAGACTATTAATTAAAGGAATCTATCAATCATTGAGGCATTTACTCAAATGTTGTCCACATTTTTCCAAGATGCCCTCTAAAAGAATACAGGCAATGGAACCTATTTTCCTTCACACGGGATGTCCCAAGCCATGCTGCTTGGCCTCCAGATAATGGTCCAGAAAGTGTCACATCAACCTTAAGTTATATCTACCAGTTCCAAAGGTATCTTGTTTACCACAGAGAATCAGAAAGAGGACAGGATAGCCATATGTGGGCAAATGAATTGAGGGTGATCAAAAGAGTGATTCTGATCAACTAAAGATTAATTTCTTCTGTATCAACCTAGGCATTCAGGGATGCCTTTGAGTACCTCACCTGGCCTTCTACTACAAGTCCAGAAAAGCATGAGTCTCCTGTAAATCCTGGGTCAGATCTAAGAGCCCCATGCAGATGTCTCAGATGGCTTGAGGCATCTCAAATGGTACCAGGTACCCATGGGAAAGTAACTGAATTGTGTCCTGTAGTCTGTTCAGCTGAGTTGTTTTCAAGCCTCCATTGATTAGATCTCTATGGAGTATTGAAAAGACCTTAGACATGTAAGTTTCCTGTAGCCACCTACATTCAGCTATCTTAACTGTGAACTGAATGATGTACGTATTTTATCTGCTTCTAAAATAATTTCAGTTTTGATGTAACCAAGAACAAATATTAACATTGATACTTAGAACAATACTAGACTTGTCTGCAAAATAAGTGTCCTCTGAGCTGGAATGAATCATACTGTAGGACAAGCCTGCTTTGACGTTCACCTTTATATTAGTTGGCTTTTGTTCTACACATTCAACCCTCCCACATTGGTGGTGTATTCTGTTAAACACCTATTAAATTCAATACAGAATTGCTGGGTTGTCTGAGGACCTCTCATGCAAAATTAATCTTATACAACCACTTGTTATTGCTGATTTTCACCTACAGACTATCCTGGGAGCTGAATGTATGTGTTCAGAGTTGAATTTGCCTCAGTGCAATTGAGAACAGAGCCTGGGGAAAGGAGTACAACTTTATACAAGTGGTTGTAATAATTGTGTGTGATGATGGAGAAGACTGCTACCTGTTCACCTCTGTTACGTAGTAATTCTGTACTAGGAGCTCTGCAATACTGCCAATTGCTAGAATTTCCCTAACACTTGATTTATAACAACTATAAGAAAAAAAAAAATGCTTTTTTGTCTTTAAACAATTCATCTGTTAAAAGCTCCATCACAAAGATTAAGAAATAACTGCTGGAAAGCCTATAGAAAATTCAATGGCATTCTGAGAACATATGATGATATTTGAGGTGACACTCACCAGCTTTAAACATCTCCTATGTAGGAACTTGTAGGATGCAGTATATCTGACTGATGTTAGATGACTATTTGTGGGTGAGACAGTCATGCCCTACCAATCTTTTCTGAGATTTGTTGGTGAAGACAACCAAAAGTGACTAATTCAAATGTTGATATCTACACTACAGATGCCTACACTTGGCCAGAAGACTCCTACTCGTGGTGACCTAAGTCCAGCTACCACACTGTGAAATACTAGAGACTAGCTCTGATTGCAACATCAATAAGACAGGGAGATAAAGACAAAGCTGCTGCCATCACCGCCAAATTGATGCCTGGAGGTTGCTTGTTTGCCACTATGTGTAAATACGCTACACTGAACTCCCCACTGTTCTCATAGTTGTTATTTATATACCACCAGCCCCTGGAGAGGACTGCTTTCCCTCAACTCCATAAGATTATGTTGGTTGGTACGCACTTAATTAAAATTACCATTTAATTAATATAAGACACCAGTGGGAGTTACAGCAGCAGCTGCATGCCCTGAAATCTGAATTCTCAAAGTAGAGGTGAGAGGAGGTGGGAACACATCTCCCTGTTGGGGCCTGATGGTAAATGTATCTCCAGCACACCTCAGGCATGATGCCTTGGATCAAGAGGACTGAAGGCAGGACAGTACAGACACCTTGAGGACCTCTGGAGGTACAAGGCGACTCTGTGCATTTAACCAGGTAC